TGTCTTAGAAATAATAGTCCGATCAGGCCAATTACTTTCTTTTTACTAAAAGGTTACCTCATTCGGCCAGGCAAATTCTCAATGTAAAGTTTACCAGACTCCAGCCAGGTGTAAAATAAACTTACGTATGCGGTACTACGTACGGAGTATTATATATGGAGTATAAGAATGAGTTACGTACGCTTCGTTCGTCATTTACGTGAATCAGCACAAGCGTTCAGATTCTCAGCTTCGGTACCTTCCTTCGACGTTACGAAGGATGCTGCCGGCTCCGGCGGCAGTCTGGACTCTGGACCCGCCGCATGTAACAACTGGTTTTGATTCCGGTGATGTTTCTTTGCTTCTCTGGCGGTTCGTGCCAGCTCCGGCGAGTTTCCTATCCGTTCCTCTGGCTACGTACTGTGTCATCCGTTGACCGAGGTTCACAGAAACAGGAGTAATGATGCTCGTCGTTTTCCCTACCGGCACGTCTGCTCAGCGTCGGACTGGTCGACGACGGTAATCTTCGACGGCAGCAGTGGACTCGTATCAGCACCCCTGGCGAGTTTCGTATCACTCCTCCGGCGAAGACGTTGGTCCGTTTCCGCAGTTTTCTTCGTACTGTATACGGAGTATATAATACGCTGGTGCTTGAAGGTTTGCGTGTGGAGGCGTCGTCTTCCGCAAGTATTTATACGAGCAAGTTGGAAGGTTCTAGCTTTAGGGTTTGGTACGTACTAAGTCTTGGCAGCCCAAACATTACATACCCAATTCATGAATAAACATACGCAGGGATTTAATTATATGGGTATTGGTCTATTGGATAGTTAATTTTCTATACAAATATTATTATTATTATCATTATTAATATGTACATGTATGTGTTAGGTGTGTCATACGCATATTATGTACTGCGTATGCATTATTTTATTACTAATCTTAAAAAATGTCATTTTTATTATTTATGTCAATGTTTTATCCAATTAACAGAATAATAAAAATTGTCACTTTTTCACATGCTAAAATATTATCCGATTAATAATTTAAATATTTTGTTAAATTTTCAGAGTGTCACATTCTACCTCTCTTAAAAAGATGCTTCGTCCCCGAAGCACTAAACTTACTCAAGAATAGTACTTCCTCAGTTAGGTCTCTCGTTTGGCGGCCCTCCTTGCTCGCTTGAATGTTTCCTCGTGGAGTTGTAGCACTTGATAACAGTTGGTAGTTTTGGCGTAAATCTCGTTTAGAGTTCGGCATTTTGAAGTGCAAAGAGCTTCTTGTGTTTCGAAGTTCAGACCGCATACAAACTTCGTAGTTTTGCTAAATTCATCGGGAACTAGTGCATGTGTGAATCGTGTGAGCTCTAAAAATTTCGCGTAGTCTTGGATAGACATATTCACTTGCTTGGAGTAAGAATTCTTTGCACTTCTATGCGTAGCTTTCACGTGCTCTAGGTAGAATCTTTCTTTGAATGGCCTCCTTGAACCTCTCTCACGAAAAGTCGAGTTGTTTATGCAACGCTAGTTCGGTAGTCGCGCACAAGTTATCAGCCTCTTGACGTAGATAGTATGCAACAAAATCAATTTGTTAATCCACGGGACATCAATTAGCTTCGTAGAGTTTGTCGAGAGTGCATGTGAATCTAATCCTCAAGGACGAGAGGATCTTCTTGGCTTGAATGAATCATGGAATTACGCTTCGCTACGAGTTTCGCTACATCATTGTGGTTGTTGAGACGTTATCGATGTCGATTTTGTAGTAACACGTTCCCGATTGTCTTGATGAGTTGAGTTAGTTGTTTCCAAACCTTGAGCCAACTCTGCGGTCGGTGCAACATCATTGTCTTCTATGTTGTCTCTCGTAGGCATCATTGTCTTCTTAAAATGGTAGCGTTTAGAACACAAAATCTATTGAGTACTATTCGTAATTATACTACCTTAGCAAGCACATAATGTATAGTTCCTCCACAAGTCCAAAGTATCCTTAAATAAGTCAAAAAGGATATATCAAAACCAAGAGCATATCTAAAACAATTCAAAAGAACCGCATACTCAATCAAAACCAAAAATAAAAATCTCACATCCTCACCGCGGTCCTAATATTATTTTTATTTTAAACCTAATTTTATTTTTTTTTTATTTTTTTGGAAACCTTTTGAAAAATCCCCTTGAAAAACTTTTAAGAAAAATCTCAAAAAGAATATTTGAAAACCTTTTTCGAAAACCAAGGGCTCTGATACCAACTTGTAACACCCCCAAATTTCCCACCCAAAAACACTTTGAAATAAAACTTTATTATTGATTTTATTTGAAAACATCAGAATTGTGCAGCGGAACAATCAAAGGGAAATAGGGGCGTTACCGCCACACTCGGCTCTAACCTAACCGAGTGCACAGGCTAATCACCACAGACAATTAAACTCAATAAGTGTCTTGAAAATTTAATTAAACTACAATGTTATCTACTAATTACATTTTCTCTAGCGGAAGCTCTCTCGAAATCAACATCATCTGCAAAGCATTACTTGTACAAAATCATGTACAGAAAGAAAAATAAAAGAAAACAAAAATTAGCAACAATGCTAAGTAAGTTCCACCTAACCCCATAAAAATATAAATTTAATATTTTTGAAAAAAAACATTTGGCAGGAAAAATCTTTTTAAAACAATTTGTACCAATCATAAGTAAAACAATATTTATAATAAATCCTCATAACATAATTCATATGTAAAATAATAATATTCCAAATCATAATAATTCCAACATTAGAAAATGTAATAAAAATCCTCATAAATATTCCAAAGCATATATCATATACACAACTCCAAATATCCATCTCAAAACTCACTTAATCACTTTATCACAATCCTTACAAAACACATAATCAATATCCACAAATATGTTTTCCAAACCAATATCACCAGTATTTGTACTTGAGAAATTCACAATTAATAAAATACCAAAACATTTGATTTACCTCAAAATAGCTTTATAGCTAATTCTCCTAGTTCATTTAGAAGGGCGGTGCTCAACATTTTATTGAGCCCGATGGTCCGTTGTTATGTACGGCCACCCCGGGACTTTTGCCGGTACCACTTCTAACCTGAGGAAACTGAACATCTACCTTAAGTGTGCACACCCTCTAAAAGGGATTCCAAGCCCTCCGAGTAGTAAGAAGTCCAAGTAGTTCGGACGTCAACGTCCCCCTACTCCACCAAAAAGGGATTACCCTATATAAGTGACTAGGTTACTGCTACTACTGAATAATAGGGTCTTTTGCCCAAATTTTAAATACAATAAACAACCACCAATCTCCACAGTCAAGGTCGTGGACACCAAATCCCAACAAGTAATAGCAGTCCTAATCACTCTCCACAGTCAAGGTCGTGGAGGATACCGACATCCCGGATTTCTCCCGTGATGCCCTTACATTGAAAGGTTCATTTTATCTTTATTATTTTCCAAAAATTCAGGGATTACTACTCACGTAATTTCCCCAAAGTTATTCAACATTCAACAATGCATCACATATTATACATGTACATAAATTTCCAAAATAAGGGTTAATCGATCCTTTAAACTCGAAAATTCCCAAAATGATTAAAATATAGAATACTCCATAAATAGCTCAAATCTCAATCCCAATAATGATTAATACATAACTTCAAATACTCAAAAAAATATCACACAATATTCAATACTCAAATCTCAAATATAATCCTCAATAACAATCCATAAATAATTCTAAATACTCAAATACGAAGTATAAATGTAAAAGCTAGAATCTCACAAAGTACTCAAATAGTTTCAAATAAATAATCATGTATAGATTTACGAGGAAAAATGTAATGTTGGTTGATGTAGAACTTACCTCAAACTCCAAGTGAAATCTTCTACTTTGCTCCTTACTCAATTCACCTTCTATTATTGAAAAGTCTAAAATCAATATCTAATCAACTTATAGTTAAATTCCACTACGTACTATTAATCGGCCTACCATAATGCATTCATTTAAACTGTTCTTATTAATATTTTTGTCTTAGAAATAATAGTCCGATCAGGCCAATTACTTTCTTTTTACTAAAAGGTTACCTCATTCGGCCAGGCAAATTCTCAATGTAAAGTTTACCAGACTCCAGCCAGGTGTAAAATAAACTTACGTATGCGGTACTACGTACGGAGTATTATATATGGAGTATAAGAATGAGTTACGTACGCTTCGTTCGTCATTTACGTGAATCAGCACAAGCGTTCAGATTCTCAGCTTCGGTACCTTCCTTCGACGTTACGAAGGATGCTGCCGGCTCCGGCGGCAGTCTGGACTCTGGACCCGCCGCATGTAACAACTGGTTTTGATTCCGGTGATGTTTCTTTGCTTCTCTGGCGGTTCGTGCCAGCTCCGGCGAGTTTCCTATCCGTTCCTCTGGCTACGTACTGTGTCATCCGTTGACCGAGGTTCACAGAAACAGGAGTAATGATGCTCGTCGTTTTCCCTACCGGCACGTCTGCTCAGCGTCGGACTGGTCGACGACGGTAATCTTCGACGGCAGCAGTGGACTCGTATCAGCACCCCTGGCGAGTTTCGTATCACTCCTCCGGCGAAGACGTTGGTCCGTTTCCGCAGTTTTCTTCGTACTGTATACGGAGTATATAATACGCTGGTGCTTGAAGGTTTGCGTGTGGAGGCGTCGTCTTCCGCAAGTATTTATACGAGCAAGTTGGAAGGTTCTAGCTTTAGGGTTTGGTACGTACTAAGTCTTGGCAGCCCAAACATTACATACCCAATTCATGAATAAACATACGCAGGGATTTAATTATATGGGTATTGGTCTATTGGATAGTTAATTTTCTATACAAATATTATTATTATTATCATTATTAATATGTACATGTATGTGTTAGGTGTGTCATACGCATATTATGTACTGCGTATGCATTATTTTATTACTAATCTTAAAAAATGTCATTTTTATTATTTATGTCAATGTTTTATCCAATTAACAGAATAATAAAAATTGTCACTTTTTCACATGCTAAAATATTATCCGATTAATAATTTAAATATTTTGTTAAATTTTCAGAGTGTCACAACGAGTTTGTTGGCTCCTCTGTGGGGGCTGAGTGGGGCGGACTGGAGCTGAAGAGGCATCACCTGTGACAAGCAAAGGGCATTCTCGGAGCATGTGCCCCATTTGACCACAACGAAAACAAGCTCCAGAGGCTTTTCTACATTCACCGACATGGTGTTTGCCACAAAAGGAACATAGCGGGACACTTTTGGCCTGTGAACCCGGTGGTCGAGGTTTGTTGCTACCAGACGTGGACTTGGCATGAGATGATTCATTATATCGACTCTGAGATTTTCCTTTTCCACTTTCATGTCTCTTCCCTGTCGAGTTCCTTGTCGGTGCTGAGTAAGAAAGTGTCCCCCTGCTGGTCTTTCTTCTGCGCCACCCTTCAAAACTTTGAGCAGCCCCCATAAGCAATGTGAAGCTAACGTGGCGTAAGGTGACCACCTGCCCAGCGATTTCTTCATTAAGCCCATACTCAAATTTCCGGCACTTGTCGGCTTCTACTCTTACCATATCCGGAGCATATTTGCTCAGGCGAAGGAATTCATATGCATACTCTGCCACCGTCATGGATCCTTGTGTCAGATCCATAAATTGTCGTTTTCGTTCTTCTTGGTACCAGGCCGGAACAAATTGATCAATAAAGCGTGCTTGAAAATAGTCCCATGTCACGGGTCTCGGTAGATCAGGCCTGAGAAGTACCGATTTCCACCAATCGTAAGCTCCATGTTGCAGCAAACTAATAGCATGTCGCGGGCGATCGGCTATCGGCACCTGTAAATCTTCTAAGACTCGAGCGGTTTGTTCAAGCCAAAATTCGGCAACTTCCGGCGTATCCCCCCTTTTTCCAAAGAAAATGGAGGCGCCATTCTTCTTTAGCTTCTCGATCGTAATGGACTCCCGTGCATCTCCGTTATTAGTCGGGATCACATTTTGAACGATTTGCTGGAACAGTCCAGTCATCTGCTGTATGAACGGATTCGGAACATGGGATTCATCATGGTGAGCGCTGGCATGTTCAGATCCATGCACAGAATGCTCACTTGGATCTTCAGATGACATTGTTGGCACCTAAAGTTAAAAGTTTCATAATTACTTAGTTATTTATGATATAACTAAATACCAGGATGGGAGGCGGCATCTAAGATGCAATGCAAGACACATAGTTTAAATAAAGTAAAACCCATTTACCCAAGGATTAAAAGAATCATTTAAAACCATTGGCTCTGATACCAAAATGTAATACCCCACCCGGACCGGCCCACCTGATCCGGACGGCGCATCACTTTGCGGAAAAACCGAAACACATTTGTTTAAAGGACATTTAATACTTTAAGAAAAATCAGCCCTTTTTTTTATAAAAACTTTTAATTCATAACATGAGATTTTAGCACTTAAAATAAAGCGTATTGGTTCCAGAATAACTTCATTAATTAATACCCGAAAATGTCAAACTCAGAATTAGTAGAATGTTATTAAAAAAGACATAACGTGAACATCACCAAATACTTATAAGACTGCAGCGGAAGTTCTTAGGTATTGAAAATGACATTTTAAAATCCTTATTAAAAACATCAAACACAATGACATGCATTACTCCTACGCCTCGCTCCATCCCAGTGCTCCTAGCAGATTCCTCGTCCTTAACCTACGGGTAGGAAAACAAACAGCTACCCGCTCAGCAATGTGCTGAGTGGTACGGTAATAATAATAGCAATCATATTAACATAACAGTGCTCATACAAATATATCCGAATTCACATCTGGACAGAAAAACATATAACATACCTGGATGATCCGAGCAGCAAAAAAAAAAAAAGACTGATATTTATATACAGAACATAAACATATTCAGGTATCATAATTATCAAATAATTCTTATTCTGAAATGTATCATTAATAAAAACAGATTCATTTGGCCTTGAACTCAAGAATCTGGACCTAGACCGAGGAATACTAACGGTAAGGAATACGGTCAAAAGGTCCGTACCCACATTACCCAGAAAGGATATGGAGACGTAATCGTCGGGGCTACACGTACCAATCCCTAACAGGAGCTAGCTAAACAGAAAGGACGAGATCACCGAAGAGACCCGAACCTTAACGGGAGAGTAATAGTGCTCTAAAAATATTTCAGGAGTGTACGGGGTACACTAAACAGGAGAGCACTAATTCCTCTAAACAGAATTTCAGGAGTGTACACAATACACTAAACAGAACAGGAGTATTCACGTCAAAGTGCCGGATCAAGAGCAAGGCTTTATTTTATTTTATTTTATATTTCGAAATAATACTTCTATTTTAGTTACAAATAAGTATTCGTGCATCCAAACGATTTTAATTATATACCGTAACTAACAACTACAGTATTTATTTAATTCACGATTTATCTCAATCGTACTTAGTATATCTTGAACTTCAGATTCCTAGTTTCCTTAATATTCCGTTTTTATTAATAAATAATAAAAATTTCCAGTGTTCATGCGGGTCTAACTTTTAACATTTTCTTTGAGTCATCCATACGTGATTATTCTTTTTTTTTTTACATGTACTCATGATATAAGTAGCAGCTAGTTATCTACGTATATACATATATCCATCGTTCATGTTATTTTATAATTAGTTTCAAAATAGTAATTATTATACATGCATAAATATATATACTCACCTAGATACATACGTAAGTCACCAATTATAGTGCATGCCTCTCAATTATCTTTTTATTTATTTATTTATAAAGATATAAAGATATATTTTTTAACAACGTATATATTCGGTATGTTACGTCCAATCATTTATTTAGTTCATGATAAAACCATTTAACAAAATACCGTCACATGCGTTTACAGGAATATGAATAGCAGTACTAGTACTATAATTATAACTGCACATGTGTATGTGTGTAGTACTTACAATAATGCTTATAAGCCTTACACGTATTATACTAGTGGACACGTGTATATATATATATACATATTTTGGGTAAAGTCAACTACTTCTATTATTCCTAATAGGTGTATATATTTTAATAAGTCTCCTGGTCCCAAAAACCAACTTATTAATAATTTATTTTGTTAATTATACGTATATAGTAAATTATTTGTACTTTGTGTGCTAAACCTTCATCAAAGTAGTTATACGTGCAATACACCTATATGTGTAAACTTAACTTATTGCATGTGTGACTTTTCAAGACTAAATTACCGAAATAAATCATGTTAAGTAAATAATCTTATAGTTAAGTGTTTACGTAAATAAGCTCCATGGTGCTTAATTCGCTTCCTATATATGTTTATGCTTCTAAATGACGACCGCCGGCCTGATACACATGTACTACGTGATTGTTTACGGGAATGCATGTAATACGAATTACTTTATTATTATTATTATTATTATTATTTTTACAAATTGTGAAATGACATATAGCTAATAAAATTTTACAGATTTATATCTTATACAAAGGATGTATGAAATTCGTGAACTACATAATTTTTAGTTAACTAGTCGAGCACTGCTTGGTTCATTTTATAACCTTCCAATTCGAACTATAAGACTTATTTCATCAAACAAACGTTTCCTTTTTAGTTTCATTTGTAAACAATACAATTATCGATAACAGATTAATAACTCCAAAAGTATTTCACACACACCTTTACTCAGTTCTGATATAAATCGTAAGGTAGTAAAACTAAGTGACATTATAATTTCCTTTATCATCCATCTTATTAGCTAGGTACCATAAATTTATTATAGCTAATCTAGCTCTAGATTTCGACTAGCGTACTTCTTAAATATGAAACTAAGCAAATTTCCAGTTTGCGCTCTTATTAAAACGTAATTTCTACAAGGTATATTTATGTGCCAATAAATCAAGAATTCTCATAAATTTAAGAACACATAATTAGAGGATAAAAGCATTCCTAGGATTTTATAAGGTTCATCATCCCCATAACATAACAGGAAACGGGGATGGAATTCATACTAAAATGACAACATTAAAATACATATTAACTAAAAAGGGGCGGAAACGTACTAACCTTATAGAAAGATTTCTTCTAAAATTGTGTTGACGGAAGAACCTCCTATGGCCTCCCTCCTCCTTTTCCTCTTGTATCTAGTTTATTTTGATGGGTCTTTTAATTTTTATTCTAGCTATCCCATGGCCGAGTGGTATTTGGGAGAAGAGAGCCAAGTCTTATTTAAAATCCACATAGTCCCAAACCTCACCCCTTATTTGACCAATCAAAAACAAGATGCTTTTGACCCTACTCTCCTCTTATCACACCAATTGTGCCCACTATTAAATATATACATAAGGCTTCACGTGGCAATAGGTGATATTGTATAGGTAAGCATGTGAATTTGGCTCCCTCCTACCATGCATAAATCCAAAAGTTTTAATTGTAGGATTCTTTATTTGGATAGTGCAGTGTGAGATTGTATGGTCTAGATGCCATTGTTTCATTTGTTTTTTTTACTACGTATTATTGTGAGATGCATGAACCACTTGCTGTTCTATTTATTTATTTCTAGACTGCTGATAATGTTTAGTGAACTACGGAGTACAATAATAGGTAGGATGGGTTCGACACTATCCCAGTAACGTACTCATGCATTATTTCTAGACTAATTTTAGGACATGGGTCTAGCCAAATGAAACTAACATGAGTAAAGGTTCATATTGTTGGACTAAATTACGTGTATATATATATATGTATACATTTGATATCTATTTTTTTTTGTACCACATTTTATCAACATAATTATTATTATTTTAATAAGAAAAGAGCTAATGATAAGTTGTCAATTTATTACGGAATATTAAGAACAATAATTGTTAATTTGGTGTGGGATACTAATAAAATCCCTAAAATTTATTCGTGAGTAATTTAACAATTAGACCGGGTTTTAGGGCGTTACAATCTTGCCCCGATACACCTCAACAGAATGGGGTGGCTGAGCGTAAGCACCGTCATCTTCTCGAATGGACTCGAACCAGGCTTCTTGAGGCTTCAGTTCCAAGTCAGTTTTGGGTAGATGCACTATATACTGCTGCATACATCATTAACAGATTGCCCTCTCCTATCTTAAATGGTCCGTCTCCTTTTCAAAAACTCTTTCATAAAGCACCCGATTATTCTTTTATGCGAGTTTTTGACACTGCATGTTATCCCAATTTTTCTTCCACCTCTTCAAACAAACTTTCTCCACACTCTGTTCAATGCATTTTTCTAGGATATGCATATGGATATAAGGGCTATCGTTGTTATGATTCTCGTACACAGCGAGTTTACATCAGTCGTCAACTCGTCATGTTAGGTTTCATGAGTGTCTATCCCTTCCAACATGTTAAGGAACCATCTACTCCTAGAAACTCTCCCTTAGTTCATACCTCCCTGTCAGATTTGCCATTTCCCAATACTCCCATACCTTCCATTCCTCGGCCAGTATCTAAAAGCCTACCTCAACCATCCACATTTACAGATTCTCCTCCTCATTTGCTTTTACCGTGTCCCACACCACCCAGACCCAGTTCAACAACCCGACCTCACACACAGTCCCTTGCCTGCAGCGAAACACCTTCTCCCATCAGTTCGGTCTCCCCAGGTTCTTTCTCGACCTTAAAAACCTCCAGCCCATCACAGCCTCCCTCACCCCACTTGCAGGACAGTCTGGTTTCCTCGTCCAGCTCTGTCGAGCATGTCTCGGCCGAGTCTCCCGTGTCCACTACACCAGTTCGTCACAGTATGCCCACTACGGTTGCTATTATCCATCCCATGCAGACACGTGCTAAGGATGACATATTTAAGCCCAAAACAATTTTTTCTTTAAACACAGATATTATCCACACTGATCCGACTTGTTTTACCGAGGCCAATAAACATTTAAAATGGAGAGAGGCTATGGCTGAGGAGTTTAATGCACTTATCACTAACCATACTCGGGATTTTGTTCCTTTTGACAATTCTAAGAATATTGTTGGGTGTAAGTGGATTTATAAAATGAAATACCATGCTGATGGTACCGTGGAACGCCATAAAGCTCGATTAGTTGCTCAAGGTTTTAATCAACAGGCTGGTGTATACTTTTCTGAAACTTATAGTCCGGTTATTAAACCCACTACTGTGCGTATTGTTCTCACTCTTGCGGTTTCGTTTGGTTGGGTAGTTCGTCAACTTGATGTCAAAAATGCATTTTTGCATGGCCATTTAACTGAAGAAGTCTATATGCGTCAGCCCCGTGGCTTCATTCATCCTCAATTTCCTAATCACATGTGTCGCTTGCGCAAGGCCATTTATGGTCTTAAACAAGCACCACGGGCATGGTTTCAGAGGTTCAGCAGTTTCCTTCTTCAGCATAATTTTTCTTGCAGCAAGTCTGATCACTCATTATTTGTCTATCGCCATAATAATTCTATCATTTATTTATTGCTATATGTAGATGATATTATTATTACTGGTAATTCTGAGACTACTATGAATCATTTTATCTCTCTTATTTCTCACCATTTTGCTATGAAAGACCTTGGCAACGTACATTATTTTCTGGGTATAGAAGCCACTCGTACCTCTAAAGGTCTTTTTCTTTCTCAGCAAAAATATGTCACTGATCTTCTTGCTCGTTTTCACCTACATACTGTTAAGTTTGTTCGTACTCCTCTTGCGTCTCTTACTACATTAACTCTCACTGATGGTGAGTTACTGACAGACTCCACTGAGTATCGCAGTATGGTAGGTGCACTTCAATATTTAACTTTGACACGGCCTGATATTACTTTTGCAGTACATTTAGTTTCTCAGTTTATGCATGCCCCTCGTATTACTCACCTCTTTGCCGTCAAGCGTATTTTCAGATATTTGCAGGGTACTCGTGACCACGGTCTTTGGCTTCAACGTTTCTCTACTCTGACGTGTGTTTCAGCTTACTCTGATGCAGATTGGGCAGGCTGTCCAGATACTTCTCGATCTACTACTGGGCAGTGTTCTAAAAGGCGTGAGGCGTGGCAAGGCGTCGAGGTCAAGCCTTTGAAGCCTAGGCGGGAATAGGCGAAGCCTAGGCGTGAAAAGGCGTTTTAGATTTCTATTGATAATTAGTACTCCCTCCATCCCATATAGAGGATCCTGACTCGGTTTACGATGCTTGACTGATGATAAAGCAACTTGATCCATGTTCAACTCTGATTTGTTTTAGTAAATAAAATTTACATTTTCAAAATACATTAAAAACGCTACAAATCCTGATAGAAAAAACGTAAATTTGATAAAGATAGAATATATAAAGCAAAAGATTAATAATGATTTAAGTTGATCATGTGATTAGTAGTTTGGAACCTTTGAATGGGACGGAGGTAGTATATTATTGTAACATATGAAGAAAAAGATAAATGTCCAAATATAAAGAATTAAAGTAGTAATTACTGGAGTATTAGAAAGTTGAGGAAGATTATTTATTTTAAAGTAATACAAAGAAAATAACAAAGGATTGATACTATTATCGTAAACATGAAAAATAACATCTACAATTTACAACAATTATTATTAATAAATATTTAGTTTGATTAGGGTGAGATTTCTTCTAATGGGATTACTTAGGCTAGCCTGCTAGAAACGCAAATAGCGTCCCACACCGGAATGATTAGAGTTGCGTTTATATCAATTCAATATAAATTAGAGAATGTTTGGTTAAGTATATCTAGGAAGTCCGCATCCCACACCGGATATGTAGACATATTCTCCTCATTCACTCCAATACAAATACATGAGAGCAGCCTGGAACTGTAGCAAAGCAATGCGGGCTTGCGGCTAACTTTCAAACAATCTGGTTGTAAAAGGCATGCTCATTTACCTGCCTAATCACACCTAATTGGTCAAAGATTAAAGTTGACTGCTATTGGGTTTGCCATCTTTTTGGGCCCTAATCAGATCTCTTGGAAGTCAAAGAAACAACCTACAGTGTATAAATCGTCTAGTGAAGCTGAATATAGAGCTATTGCATATACTGTTCAGGACACGCTACACATCCGGTCCGTTTTGTTCGAACTCGGATTTCCCATCACGGTACCAGTACAGTTACTTTGTGATAACATCTCTGCTTCTTATTTGACGGCTAATCCTGTTCAGCATGCACGAAGGAAGCACATTCAGATTGACTGTCATTTTGTCAGAGAAAGAGTTGCTCATGGTGATCTTTTGGTTCGATATGTCCTTACTCATCGTCAGTTAGCTGATATTTTTACCAAGAGTCTTCCTAGTTAACATTTTCATTTTTTAAAAGACAATCTGCGCATTGTATCTCCCGCACAGTTTGAGGGGGTGTAATAGACTAAGGACATTTATGTATTTTAAACATTATTCTCTAATATAAATAGACCGACCGGGGCTTCTAAAGGGGTAACATGTTCCATAGTTTCACAACTACCACTAATGGAAAACGACTCATACGCGACGCTTTTTTTGGACAAGCGCGGCCCTTATAAGCGGTACTTGAATTGCTTCATAACAGGTACGTACACCCCCAAATCCGAAACAACCTAACATGTCAATGCTCTACACGTTTTATTTATTTGTAGAAATGGAAATAAATAATACGAGTACGTATATATAACTACAATTCTATGAAGATAATTTTAGTACACAGAAAAGCAAACTGTTAGTAATAATGAGATACTGTCAGTAATACCACATCTGGTCAGTCAGGAGGACAATCTACAACTGACTAAGATTCCTGATTTGGAAGAGGTGAAGTCAGCTGTTTGGGGGATAAGTCAAAACAGTGCCCCAGGACCTGATGGGTACCATGGTAAGTTTTTTAGAAAATGTTGGCCTATTATTTATATGGATGTTTTGAGGGCAGTTCAGGATTTTTTCTTGGGACAACATATGCCAAAATCTTTCTCTAGCTCTCAGTTAGTGCTTATTCCAAAGTCAGACAGGCCATCTACTTTTGGTGATTTTAGGCCAATTTGTTTATCTAATTTCACTATAAAGATATGTACTAAGGTTCTCGCAACCAGATTGAAGGAGGTGCTGCCTAATATCATATCCCAGGAGCAGGCAGGATTCATGGCTAACAGGACATTGCAGATCAGGTCCTTATAGCACAGGAGATGATACACTGTATTGATAAAAGGATTAGAGGATCAAACACAGTGGT